TGTGCCACACATAGGCAAGGGGCTGTGACCATACATGGTGTATCTGGGGAAGTGCCCAAAATACATCATGCAGATCCAGGGCTGTTTTGTTTGTTTGTTTATGGTTGTTTCCTCATGTGGATGCCCTCTGTCTTCTTCACTCTCTGCCAAATGCTATTCATCCTTCAAGGCCCAGTTTCAGCTCTGCTTCCCCATCAGGTCTTTTCTGACTGTGCTAGCTGGTGCCACTCCAGGTCGTATGTAGTTCAGGATTTAGGTGTAGTGTCTGTGCTGGAATTGGTTTCTCAGTTAGCCCAGGGCAGACATTACACTCATCTCATACTTTGGGGGCCTTGCAGCCCCAACAAAGTGCTAAAGATAGTGGGGCCAGGGGGTTTTATGGGTCCATTCACTAGGACTGACATCCTCGTTCTGCCTAAATGCAGTTTAGTGTTGCTGTTCAGTCTGGGGTTGTTTGTGGGCATTTAGGATTTAGCTGGTTATATTTATTAGCTCATAAGGGGAGCAATTTTTCAAATACTCACTTGAGTGTTCCGCTCAGACGTGGCTGGGGAGAGGGAGGAGCACCTAACCTTGAACTGAACTCTATGACGCTCTGGGTGAAGCCTTGGGCACTGGGCTGGGCCTAGTTTCATAATCTGCAACATCATCTCTCAAGTTCCTGCTCGAGAATGACTTTGCTTCTTTCAAGTCTCTTGTTCTGATGGTTGGGTTGCACTTAGTTCCCCTAAAGTGTCAGAGATATAACTTGTCATTCTCTTTTGGAGAATGGGGTACTGGGCATGGCTTCTTGGTGTTGAGGTTGCTTGCATAATGTGTTTGCCTGGTTCTGCAGACAATGAGAACTAGTTATAGTAAGGAATCGGCTCTTGTAGTTATGGAGATTGAGAAAGCCCAAGATCTGTAGTCGGCAAGCTGGAGCGGCGATGGTATATAGTTCTAGTCTGAGTCTGAGCCTGAAGGCCTGAGAGCCAGGAGAGCTTAATGGTGTAAGTACAGTCCAAGTGCAAGTGTAAAGGCAGAAGAAGACCAATGTCCCAGCTCGAAGACACACACACACACGCACACACACACACACACACACACACAGAGAATTCTCCCTTACTTCACCTTTTTGTTCTATTCAAGCTTTCAATGGATTTAGTGATGCCCACCCAGGAAAACAGGATTAATCACTTAGTCTACAAAATCAAATGTCAATCTCACCTAGAAACACCCTCACAGATGCATTTGAGTAAAATTTAACCGAATATCTGTGCGCCCCTGGCCCCGCCAAGTTGACACGTAAAGTTAACCATCACAGAGTGACACAGAAGGAAAGCTTGGCTGGAAAAAAAGTCTCATGAAGCTTTTGAAGTAGGGCCTGAAGAGAAATGGCCCAACACACTAGAATCCCTCAGAAAGTGCCTTTTCCAGCACAGTATTTGGGGAGCGTGTCTGTACTGCTGAGAGCCACAACTCCGACGACTTCTCACGTTGTACCGTCATGTACGGTTGCACTGGTCCAGCCAGTTGTACATGAACAAAGGTTCCGGGGTAAAGGGGGCAAGTGGAGGCTGAAATGCATGCAGCTCACACTCTGAGGGGCTGCATCTGCCTAAAGGAAAAAGGGGGCCTTTGCCTAACTTTCCCAAGCCATGAACCAGGGCTTCTCCCACACATTGAGTGTCAGCAAAGCATCCTAGGTGGCGTGCCACGGCGTATCTACAGATGTGCACAATATGGGTCCTCTCTGTGTTTGGAGTTGCTGGGAAGGGTCATCACCTGTAATCACAAGAGGCCTCTAGCCACAGGCAGCCTCCAGGCATGAGCAGTCTTGGTTGTTTACTTCATTGTGCCATAAAAATATTTTGTACATGTGCTGCGATGTGAAGAAGATTGGAGAGCACTGTGCCGAGGGACTTGCCTTATTCATCCAGAAGGCAATTCACCCATTTCAGAAAGGGCCCATGTCCATCTGTCTATCTAAGCACAAGCTATGTCCGGCAGCAGAGGGCTTCCTAGTTTTCATATTGGGATGTGGCGATTTGCAGTCTTCAGGTAAGAGCTGGGCAGAGAGAGTCTGGGTCCAGGGTATCTGCCATTATCTGTGGTTATGGTTTAGTTTCCATGGAGAGGATGCTGTCTGGCAGCCTAGATCACAGATACGTAGCTTGGAGTCCTAGGTTTGCTGTCCTGAGTGCCGATGGTTTTGTCCACCTGTGCCCAAGAGGGAGAGAGAGGACATGTTAACATAAAGGTGCTGCTGGGGAATTCCGGTTCCCATGAGGAACCAGGGGAGTTGCCCTGAGGAAGAGTCTGGGGTAGCAGGGCCTTGCTCTTTGCTGAGTCTTTCACCTCTGCCCCAGCCGCCCCATTTGGAAGCCTTTGGGTCATCAACTTTCTCACCCAGAAAAAAGCAGGAGGGAATGGTTTTGATCATAGGCTTGAGGCAACAGCCAGGCTCAAGCCACTTGCTTTCCTTGTTCCTAGTTGAGGCCCAGTTCCTTCTGTACCTTCTATTCACCGTGGCAAGTCACCTCTGCTAGCATCTCTCGTGCTCCAGTTTAGAACACTGCAGGCAACCTGCCCACTGGCTTGAGGAGTCTTTGATCTTAAATCACATACTGACCAATGAATAATCGTCATTCAACTTGTCTAGAGGATTCACTTTGGGATATCTCAATTCAGGACTCCCTGATGAATTCCTCAAGTCTAGTTCTTCACACTGCGAGCTCCTCCTCTGTTTCCTCCCACTCTCCTTCAGATCCTGGTTCAAACATGTGAGCACCTTGCCCCTCACTTCTTGCTTCTCCTTCCTCCTTTCTTTTCCTTCTCTTCTTGCCTCACTCACCTCTTTTTTCCTTCTCCTTCCTTCCCTTTGGTGATCACTGAGGAAAAAAGGCCCCCTGTCTCTTTCTGTGGGGCGCTTGACTTTACAACTTACCTTTACAACTTTCCTACTTGTCTGGCTCACAGATGCCTTAAAGAATCAGCTCTTGATTTTTTACTTATGGATTCACTTACATTCCATTCCACGTTCCCAATATATCCTCCCACCATTCATTTATTATCATTATTTTCCCATTTTTCTAGACTCCTGGGTTCAAATTTATCTTTCATGATTAGCTTCCTGCATATTAGCTCAGCTATTAAACAGGAACACTTTCTAAACATTTGATTCCCCAAGGGACCCCAAAGCTGTCCTTCTGACAGTAGCAGAAATGAGGACCCTCAGATGGTGATCGCCCCTCAACAGATCCCCCAAATGGAAAGTTCTGTTAAAGGACAGGGTTTACTGTTCCTTTGCACATTCCAGGGAAAGACACTGAAGCAGAGGGACTTGTGACTGTCACTAGACCACGACAAATGGTGGTTCAGGTTGCATACTGTAAAACTCAGCTGAGGGGGCAAATGGGAGCCGAAATGAGCCTGTGTTCTACTTGCCAGTCTGTGTACCTGGTGTGGGCCGCCGGGAGGCACCTGTTTTCTTATTTTCACACCGTGAGCTAACAGAGCCCTGGGTATTGCAGAGGCTGAGGTTTCCACACTATGATCAGGGGCTCACGGGGTCCTGCACTTAAAGGGAGGGATCAGCACCCCAAACAGGCCAGCCTGTGAATAACCATTGACCTGGGGAGTAGGGCTCTGTGCATGTGTGGAAGTACCTTAGACCAAAGCCCTCAGCCAGTAGTCCTGAGAAGTCTAGGGAGGAGTCCCAAGGAAAATAGCTGGCCCCTTGTTGAATGAACAGGTGTAATAGCAGAATTGTTGGAACACATATGACAACAGGGATAAAACGTTAGAAAGGATTGGCATTATCAGAGTACTGCACTGTGGAAAATGTTGTGTTTCCTGGCTTCTCCTTGGTGGGAAGCACCTGTAAAACACCTGTCATTCACTTAGTCATGGAACCCAAGCACAGTGTTATGTGTCCCCCTTCCTACTTCTAACCCTGCCCATCACTCCTCCCTGGTAGCATTTTCACCAGGTGGACTTCTCTCCAGGCCTCAGCTCTGCTTCCACCCAGCTTTGGAGAAGTTCTGGGTCAGATGAGGGTGCGATGGGAGGGTGGGTAGCATTTGGGCAAAAAAAATCAAGAAGACGGGTTTGCATGGTGGAGACCGAGTTTCGCTTAGTCAGGGTATTAGCTTTCCATGGGCTTTATGGACCCCGCTGCCCTATCAGTCCAAACACAGTGCTAGATTCATCAGGCAGGCCTCAGTTTACCCCTTCAGGGGAGCAGCCTGGCAGAGGCACAGGGAAAGGCGATACCAGGTAAAATACTGATTCAGGGTGAAGGTGAGGGAGGGGCAGGCAGGTCAAAGGCAGGTGGGAGTTGGAGGGGTGGGACAGAGCGACTCTGAGTCTGAGCAAAGTAAGCTGCTGCTGCAGGCAGACAAGTTAATCGAGTTCAAGGGCACCTCTCTCAGCTCTGTGACCTTGGAGCCTCCTTAAGCAACCTGTTCACCTGGAACAGCCCTCACCTCACACCAGGGGCTCTCTTGTAGCTTGTCCCCTGTAGAGGGTGCTTCACTCTTAATCATGATTCTCATCTAACCTTGAGCCAGACCCCCACATGAAAGTTTAGGGCCTCATCCTGGGGCCTGCCATGGGGTGACAATTGACCACCTTTCTGTCCCCATAGAGAGAATCCTGGCATCATTTCCCTGACACGGTATTTCCCTGATATGGTATTTCCAGATTCTTGCCTGTGGCTTCTGGCGAGGCAGTGGTAAAGAGAGGCCTGCTCCCAGTGACTCCCTGACCTGGGAGAGCTGGTGAAGATCCATGAGTTGCATCAGCTCACCTTGGACAGGGAGATTTCATCGTAGATTCTGAGCTCTGCTGGCTGAGGATCTTTTGGAGCATTGACATATGTGTATATTGTGTTCTTTGAGGCAGCATCTGCATCACAAATAAAGATAGAAACACAGTATGCAAAAGGTGGATGATTTGCCGTAGCCCCCCGTGGTCAGCAAACTCATTAGTCAACAGAGCCAAATATCAACAGTACAATGATTGCAATTTCTTTTGAGAGCCAAATTTTTTAAACTTAAACTGTATAGGTAGGTACACTGTTATTAACTTAATTAGGGTACTCCTAAGGCTTAGGAAGAGCCACACTCAAGGGGCCGAACAGCCGCATGTGGCTCGCGAGCCGCAGTTTGCCAACCACGGCCCTAGCTGATTTGACTCAGTGAATAGAGCATTGGCTTATAGACCGAAGGGTCCCGGGTTGGAATCCGGTCAAGGGCATGGACCTCAGTTGCAGGCTCCTCCCTGGCCCGGACCCTGGTCGGGCTCATGCAGGAGGCAACCAATTGATGTGTTTCTCTCACATCGATATTTCTCTCTCTTTTCCTTTCTTCCACTCTCTCTAAAAAAAAAAAAAAATCAATGGAAGAATATCCTTGGGTGAGGATTAAAAAAACAACAACAAACACACACACACACACACACACAACCAAAATCAAAAGATGGATGACTTTTTAGAGATGGTCTAGTCCAGGGGTGGGCAAACTTTTTGACTCGAGGGCCACAATGGGTTCTTAAACTGGACTGGAGGGCCGGAACAAAAGCATGGATGGAGTGTTTGTGTGAACTAATACATGTTAACACTGCTGCTGGTGAAGGAGCGGAGGGGAGAGCAAGAGAACCCTCCCTCTTTCGGTTCCGCCGGCCGGATAGAACAGCCGAATGGGCTGGATTTGGCCCGCGGGCCGTAGTTTGCCCACTGCTGGTCTAGTCTAATATTTTCTTTTTAAGGTGAAGAAATGAAGCCCTAAGAGATGGCTCCCATCCTCTTGAGATGGATGCTTGGGTGTTTGGACTGTCTTTCTCTCTTCTAGGGATTCCATGTGCGATGGGAAACACCCAGCTCAAGCCTCACCCAGAGTTCAGTGGGAATTCTTTTTTCTAGAGTACCGCATTAGGCTAAAGAGACTCTTCAATCTCTGCGTGGGCAGTCAAAGTAGCTCTTCTACCCAGGCTCTTCTTAGTGTCTCTGGCACATAGCAGTGACTGCCTTGCATGGCTAGTTGTTTTTTAATGAGAAGGTCTTGGTTTTTCTACTAGATTGAGTCTCTCTAGTTATATACTGTGTTGGAATCTTCTGGTACATACATTACTGTTATTGCCTCAATGTTAAGCACATAGCAGATGCCCTACAAACATTTATTTGAGGCTTGCTCGATTGACTCACACAGTCAAACATTGATTAAGCTCCCTCCATGTGCCAGACTCTGTGTGAAGCTACAGAGAAGCAGACAGGAGAGACACGTTTCTACTTTTAATAATTTATGGGCTGGTAGAAGCACTCATCCCAGTGTACCGCTTTTCTTAGCTCCTAACATGGAACATTTTAGGACCAAGTTGAAAAGATACAGCTAGAATTTAGAGTCGTCATGTTCAAGGGCACTAACATAGCCACACTTAACAGATCTGAGATGAGCTATCTCAGAAGGATCCAACATTTCAGAGTTTAGTCCTGTCCAGCCCCTGCCTCAGACTTGATGAGTGAGCTAGACTGAGTGTTCTCTTGTCTCACTTATATATTAAAAAAAAAAAAAAGCAGCCTTTTTTCCTTCCCAAGAGACAGTAAGGCAAGCATTTCAAACTCAAAGGCTAACATGGGCCAAATAACCGAGACATGTGGCCTGCAGGCTGCGAGTTTGACATGCTTGCTGTAAGGTATTGAAGACAGATGTCTTTTTTTGAGGAACCCTGAAGATCACCTATGGCCTGAGCGGGTTGTGTGACTTCTCATCATGAGGGCAAGCCAGGGCCCATCCACGATAGGTATGGTAGCTAACACTGACTGAGTACTTGCTATGTGCCAGGCACCAGACAAGTGTTTTACATGTGGAATTCCATTTAGCCCACGACTATGCATATTTTATAATTGAGAAAATGGAGACTCACCATGATAAAATAACTGGTAGCTGATAAGGGGAAAGCTGGGACCTTCACCCCAGACCAAGCATGTCAAACTCAAAGACTAACACGGGCCAAATAAACAAGGCATGTGGCCCGCGGGCTGCGAGTTTGACTTGCGCGCCCCAGACTGTCTGCAAAGCACAAGCTTAGCCTTAACCACTCTGCCGTGAATTCGTCTCTCCCAATCGTCATCCAGAGAAACTTGTGGCTGAAAACTTACCAGGTTTCTTATGGAAGATCTTGAAGGAGGAACCTGAGGAATCAGACCAAAGGAGAGTCAAGAACCGGGAAGCGGAGGGAGAGCCTCCCACATCCAGGTTTCTTATTCTGATTTGAGCGAAGGGGAGGTTTGGGGTGGATATGGGGTCAGGACAAATAGAATGGTGTAATTTCCCCCTAAGGTGCGAAGGTCAGCTTTTCTGAGTTGAAAATAGCACAAATACAGAAGAATCCAGAGGGATCTGGAAAAATCTAGTGACAACCATGGAATACCAAATTAGGACATGTTCCTCAGTGACTCTCCAAAGTAAAAAATATGATGGAATTGAAAGTGACCCCGAAGACCCTCTAATCCAGTGGTTCTCAACCTTCTGGCCCTTTAAATACAGTTCCTAATGTTGTGACCCAACCATAAAATTATTTCGTTGCTACTTCATCACTGTAATGTTGCTACTGTTATGAATCGTCATGTAAATATCTGATATGCAGGATGGTCTTAGGCGACCCCTGTGAAAGGGTCGTTGGACCACCAAAGGGGTCGCGACCCACAGGTTGAGAACCGCTGCCCAAGCCTTATATCACATCTAAGAACTCTGAGCCAGAGAGGTAAAGATACATGCCTAATGGAGCACAGCTTATTAATGGGGGTGCTAAACTTGAACCCAAGCTATGGGCCCACTAGATACTGGTGATCCCATGAACAGATTTTGAAGAGCCTTCAGAATGATACCATACAGGCAGGGCCATCAGTCTGGGAGATTGTGTGGTTGGTGGGGTGGGGATTGTAGAAATGCTGATTTCCTGGGACAAAAGACCTCTCCACACCACCTTGGGTAAGTGACTCCAGTCCTAGGGAGAAGGAAGGTGCATTTCCACATTGGGGAAATCCTACCTCGTCCTTTCTTGCAAAAAAGGAACAAAAGCACTGAAGGTAGGATGACTATAACCAGAAAGAGCACAGCCAGTCCACTCAGCAATCCAGCATGGTGAATATGGAGGCCCGTGGGGCTATCTGGAAATGGAAGAGGCAGTGAGACAACTGGGCAGGCTTGGCCACATTCCAGGGGCATCGTCCAAATTGGGGACCCTCCAGGGGAGTACCAGAGCTTTGAGGGAAACTATACTTTCTGCTATCGAAAGTCAGGGTTAGAAACTGAACCAGGGATCATCCCTCTGGTTTGGACCTGTTTCCAGGGCTTCCTGGGAGGAGAGGCCCCTGGGGACCAGGCTTAGCATAAGGGGGGCACATTGCCCTGGAGAATGAGGCCCACACTCAGGCCTTACAGCTCTCCAGAGTGATCGGTAGGACTCCAGGAAAGATGGACAGAGCTGTTACCTGCACAGAGCTGCTGGGCAGAAATGGAGTCAGAATTGTTGCTGACGGGGTTCCGGGCTGTACAGGTGTAAGTCAGCTCTTGGTTGTTAGGAGTCTGGAAGACTTGGAGAACACTACCCTCTGTCCCCATGGGACTCCAATTGTATGTCACATTTTTTTCTTCTTTCTCCACGGAGCAGGTCAGGGTGACATTACAAGTACTGTTCGAAGATGTTGTTAAACTCTGAGTAATTTTCGGCTTCCCAAGCCTACCTATGAAGGGGAAACACATTAGCCTATACCAGCTTGTGAGGGCCAACTGCTATATTTAAAAAATTTTTTTCAAATGTTTATTAAACACGGCTATCATGTAAAAGCAAAGTATGAAAAGTTAAAATAAAATAAACCATATTCAAAACAAACGGAATAAATACTCAAAACTCACTTTCTAATTTTTTGACAATTTACCATTATTTGTGCTCTAAAAATTATTTATATCTATGTATCTGTCTTTTGTAATGATGTGTAAAGTCTTTCCAACTCTGCATGTCTTAAAATGATCTATTTGTGACATTCATGGATGGTTCTTGAAGCTATGATGCTAATAAATCAGGTGAAAAAGGATAAAAACCATATGACTTCACTCATATGTGAAATATAAAACAGAAAGTAACAAACTATCAAAATAAAACAAAAACTTAGACACAGACATCAGAATGGAGGTTACCAAAGGGGAAGACAGGTAGGGCAAAGGGGCTCAAATATATTATGGAAGGAAACTAGACTTTGGGATGTGAGCACACAATATTGTATACAGATGTTGTACACCTGACATTTATATAATGTTATTAACCAATGTCACCTGAATAAATTTAATATAAAAAATCAGCCACAGTGGGAGTATTTATATCACAGGAATTGGCAAATGCTACAAACCTGGACTTGATTTATTGTCTTGTTGATGGTTGCTCTAGACTTCAGAAAGCAATGGAGGAAAGGTTACTAAAGAAGATTAAACTTAAAAGTGTGTCCTGTCTATGGCCATTACATTGCAATAGCAACAACAACAAAAAAATTAAATTAAAAAAATAAAAACAAATTAGAAAATATTCTTCCAGTATTTGAAAGCCACTATCCAATTCAGCAAAGAAGTTGCAACTAAATGTATAAAGGGATGAAAACAAACATCTTAAAGTTATTGCAATAAGCTGCTATGAATATTTGTATACAAGTTTCTGCCTGAAATAAGATTTTGTTTCTCTGAGATAAATGCCCAAGAATGAAATCATATGTAAAACCATTTTTTTTAATTTAAAAAATGTATTGTGATAAAATATACATGGCATAACATTTAGTATTCTAACCATTTTAAAAAATGTATTTTATTGATTTTTTACAGAGAGGAAGAGAGAGAGATAGAGAGTTAGAAACATTGATCAGCTGCCTCCTGCACATCTCCTACTGGGGATGTGCCCACAACCAAGGTACATGCCCTTGACCAGAATCGAACCTGGGACCCTTTAGTCCGCAGGCCGACGCTCTATCCACTGAGCCAAACCGGCTTCGGCTTAACCATTTTTAATTGTACGGTTAAGTACATTCACGTTGTTGTGCAAACATCACTGCTATTTATCTGAGGACTCCCCTTCCCCTTTAAAATAGGTTCTATCTTTTAGAGCAATTTAAGGTTCTTAAAAACACTGAGTAGAAAGTACAGGGAGTTACCATGTGTACCCTGCCCCATTCACTCACAGCCTCCTCCATCATCAACATCCCCACCAGAGTGGTACACACAATAGATAATGTACATTGATGCACTATCATGATCACCCAAAGTTCACAGGTGATATACACTCTCGGTGTTGTATATTCTATGAGTTTTGACAAATATGTAGTGACATGTATTCAGCATGATAGATCATACAGTAGAGTTTCACTGCCCTGAAAGCCCTCTGTGCTCTGCTTGCTTATCCCTCCCTCCCCCAAACCCCTGGCAAGCACCGATCCTTTACTGTCTCCATGGCTTAAGTTACCTCCACACCTTTTCATGGCTTTTTAGCTCTCTCCAGATCTCAGAACTTCTAAGAGTAATTTTTCATTAAAAAGAAAATAGCCAATCTATTTAAATTCCCACCAGCAATGTATGAGTGACCCAGTTTCTCCACATCCTCACCAGCATTTAGGGTTATCACTATTTTTCATTTTGGCCATTTTGGATTAAACAAAACAACTTGCTCAAGGTCACATAGCTGGCAAGAGGTCTAATTCCAACTAAAATATTTCTTAATATGTGAATGGTTAAATAATCTCGTACATCTATGCTATGAAAGGTTCTCCTATAATGAAAGACAAACTATTGATACTTGCAATAGTTAGGATGACTCCTCAAAAGCATGCATACTGTGCGATTCCATCTATGTAAACGTTTGTGAACTAACATAATTACCGATATGAACAATGGATCAATGTCTTCCAGGAGCTTGGGAGGGGAAAGGGGCAGTAACGAGTGACTATAAAGGGATGAGGAACGTCTGGTGATGGCACAGTTAAGTATCTTGATTGTGGAAGTAGTTACATGAAGCTACATCTTATCTGTATATATAAAAGCCTTAAGCGACCAAACAACCAAACAATCGAATGACAGATCGCTATGATGCGCACTGACCACCAGGGGGTAGACACTCAAAGCAGGAGCTGCCCCCTGGTGGTCAGTGTGCTCCCACAGCGGGAGCGCTGCTCAGCTGACTGACCTGTCCCAGTGGCTCACAGCCCTGCAGCAGCCACTCCCTCCCTCAGTAGCCCTGCAGATCCAATCTCTGGAGAATGGGCCAAGCACTGATGGACTGGTGCCACCGGCACAATCACGCCAGTGCCGCTTCCCCTCCCTAGATGCTCCGCAAGGAAGAAATGATATGAAAGTGGCCACCAGGTGGCTTCTGACAACTGGTGCGAACATCAGCGGGATAGATCTGGATCCCAGGCTGGCAAGGGCATCCTACTGCCTGCCCGGAGGGCTGATTGCATCCTGCCCCCCACTCCCCCCACCTCGGGATGGGCCCAGATGCAGGGCTCACAGCTGGTGAGCACTGCTGTGGCGGCATGAGCCTCTCCCGATAGGGACTGACTGGCACAAGCCCACGTCAGGTGCAGTCGGGGCAGGATGAACGGGAGCGGTAGGCAGGAGTTGCCGGTGGTGTTGGACTGCGGGTTTCAGCCCAATCCCTGCAGGCAACCCTGAGGGATCCCACCTGTTCACAAATTCATGCACCGGGCCTCTAGTATATATAAAAGCCTAAGTGACCTTTCGACTATTCCACCGATAGCTAACACACGCATTGGCATGAAAACATGGAACAGATGGATGAATTTCAGAGAGACGGGGGAGGGGGGAGGCAAGATGAGATTCACCACAGATCTTATATGCATACTAGAGGCCCAGTGCATGGATTTGTGCACCGGTGGAGTCCCTTGGCCTGGCCTAGGGGGATCAGGCCAATACCAGCAGTCCAACATCCCCTGCGGGGTCCCAGATTGTGAGAGGGTGCAGGCCAGGCTGAGGGACCCCACTGGTGCACTAATCCATGCCCTGGGCCTCTACTATGTAAATAAATTGCACAGAGCGACACGTATACTCACACATAAATCAGTGCCTGTGTAAGTGGTGAAATCTAAAGTAAGCTCTATTTCTTGCACAGATGCCAATTTCCTGGTTTTGACATTGAACTATCTATCTATATAAAAGCCTAATTTGCAAAGTGTCCCCTCTGGAGTTCAACTGATAGGGAGTCCCTTCGCTTGCTATGATGAGCGATGACCACCAGGGGGCAGCACAGAACGAAGGAAGGCCCTGGCCAGCAGCTGGCAGCTGCTAGGAACCCTACTGGTGCACAAATTTCTTGCACTGGGCCTCTAGTAGTTATATAAGATGTTACCATTGGGAGAGACCGAGTATAGTGGACACAGAACCTCCCTGTACATGTCTTTACACCTTTCTATGTACCTGTAATTATTTCAAAATAAAAAGTTTTCTAAAGTACTTTGCACACACTGTCTCACGTGGTCCTCACAATAACCATGGGAAGTGAATACTATGATTATTCACATTTTATAGAAAAGAAAAACAAGGCCATGGGACAAATGCTGATAGAAGGTTACATTGCTAAAAACAAGCAAAGCCATACCCTCTTGAAAAGTATTAATATAGTGATGCTTATTTATAAGCATAAAATGATTTAGGGAACCCAGTAGTCAGAAATACAGTTGTTCTGCAATAGCAAATTTGCAAAGTAAAAATAAAAAACAAGCCCTTTATCTTCCCATGACTTACGATAAACTTGAAGTTTGTAGGTCCTGGTGAGTGTCTCCTTTTCAGAGTTCTCTGTATTTATGTCAGCTCTGTAGATCGCTGCATCTTCCAGCCTCAGATTGCTGATCTCCAAGTTGTAGTTCTGACTTGAGACGTTTACTCGTTGTTTATAGTTTTGGTGGGTCACAATGACTTGGAGGGGTGCGCCTGGGAGGGCCACTACAACAGCAACGGATGTTTTGGAACTCACCCAGTTAATGTTGGTAATCTGCTGTATGTTTTGGATATTTAAAGGGAAAGTAACTGTTTCCCCCAGAATCCCATTCACGGTGAGCATGTTTGTGTTGCTTTCAGCTGCTTCCAGACCTGAGGACATAAATAGAAAATTGTAGCCATTTGGCTGTTGCACTGTTCAGAGCTCCCTGTCTCCCCAGGCTGGAGTCTCCCTTAGGCGCTCCCATGGATACAGATCACCCAGTTTCTTGAGGATGCCTTTTTTTTTTAAATTTTTTATTACAAAGGATATTACATATGTGTCTATTTTCCCCCCGGCCTAGACAGTCCCCTAGCCTCCCCTATCCCCCAGTGTCTTATGTCCATTGGTTATGCTTATATGCATGCATACAAGTCCTTTGGTTGATCTCTTACCCCACTACCTCCCGCCCCCCAACCCTCCCCGGCCTTCCCGCAGCAGAGTTCCATCCATGCCGTTGCAAATGGTAAGAGTTCCTTCCTTTTTAGAGCAGCATAGTATTCCATTGTGTAGATGTACCACAGTTTTCTAATCCATTCATCTACTGATGGGCACTTAGGCTGTTTCCAGATCTTAGCTATGGTGAATTGTGCTGCTATGAACATAGGGGTGCATATATCCTTTCTTATTGGTGTTTCAGGTTTCTTGGGATATATGAGGATGCCTTTTTGTTTTGGTATTCTACCCTAGACATATTTAATGTTTTATGATGGATACATTTTTTTTAAGGATTATCATTCAAAAATGAAGTTTCCCAGTGAATTTCCAAGGATCCATTTAATTAAAAACATGTTTATCTAGACTTACAGACTCTGAAAGCTAGGAGGAGCATAAACCTCCATGAGGTCTGAGATACTGAATGTCTTTCTTTCCCAATATCAGATGTCCAAGAAGTGGAAAGGTTGCGGGAGGGCCTGGGATGGCTCTTGTGGTCTTTGCACAAAGGTTACATTTATGCTTCTATTCCTAGCAGGTACAGTGCTCTGGAGTAAATACTCCCTAAGTTCACGATATGGGGGATCTTTTTTGTAAACTAGAGTATCTCCAGTCCCCAGAAGAGTACCTGACACACAGTGGGTGGTTAGTAAATACTTCTGGGACATAGTGATAAATGGATTTCACTTGTGTGTTGCCTAGAATGTCTTGGAACAACTTCTGAAGTAAAGTTCATCCATTCATTCGTACATTTATGAATGAATGAATATATTTATTCAAGGTCAGCTTTTTAAAAAAAATATATTTTATTTATTTTTTACAGAGAGGAAGGGAGAGAGATAGAGAGTTAGAAACATCGATGAGAGAGAAACATAGATCAGCTGCCTCCTGCACATCTCCTATTGGGGATGTGCCCGCAACCCAGGTACATGCCCTTGACCGGAATCGAACCTGGGACCTTTCAGTCCGCAGGCCGACGCTCTATCCATTGAGCCAAACCAGCTTTGGCTCAAGGTCAGCTTTGTTTCAGATACTGTGGTAGGTATTTATTAATGTAATCTATCATACCAATGTTTGTTGAGCAAACTACTCTTTTAAGCATTAGGAAAAACACACCGAGGCCAGGAGACAAACTATTGATGGAAGATTACAGCACTAATGTAAATAAGGAGATGGGGATACAATGGTGAACAAAAATAAATATACTTCCTGCTCTCCAGGATGTAACAGTTAAATAAAGAGACCAATGTGGACGAGGTAACCACAAACGGTTAAAGACAAAGCAAGTAAGTATTATGGTGGTTGAGGGAGAAGAGCAAGAGGGGCTTGATCTGTTTTGGGAATCCAGGAACACTTTCTAGTAAAAGCTGAAGGATGAGTGTATTTATTTAGTTATTCCTCACCTGAGGATATTTTTCCATTGGATTTTTAGAGAGAGTGGAAGAGAGAAGGAAAGACAGAGAGAAATATCAATGTGAGAGAAACACATTGGTTGGTTGCCCCCAGGGTCCAGACCAGGGAGGAGCATGCAACTGAAGTATGTGCCCTTGATTGGATTTGAACTCGGGACCCTTCGGTCTACAGGCTGACACTCTATCCACTGAGCCAAACCTGTCAGAGCAAGAATGAGTGTTTTTAAAATCTAACAGGAGAAGAAAAAAGAATTAAAGGTTTATTTTTCTTTCCCTCCATCACCTAATAAAATAAAGTGATTTAATACATAATTTGTGAAAAGAAAGGCACTCTATATAATAATGGTATACACACCCGCTGGGAGGCTAGTGTGCCCAGAGAGGGCATGGAAACTCTGTACACCCTCCTCATCTGGCCCTGTTAACCTCCTCACGTGGCTCTTCCTAAATCACATCTTTGTAATACACTGGGATCAGTAAGGAAATGCTTCTCTGAGTTCTGTGAGCTGTTCTAGCAAATCAGCAAACCTGCAGTAGGGTTGCTGGGCACTGGATTTATAGCTGGTGGGTCAGAAACACAGGAGGCCTGGACTTGTGACTGATGTCTGGAGCGGGGGCAATCTTCTGAGCTCTTTAACTTGTGGGATCTGGCGCTACTCCAGGTAGAGAGTGTCAGTAGTGTATTGAGTTGTTGGATTCCAGGTTGTATCTGGAAAACTGGTGAATTGGTCACTGGTGTTGAAACACCTCAGATGGGGCCCGGCCAGTTTGGCTCAGTGGTTGAGCATCTACCTATGAACCCAGAGATCACGGTTCGATTCCTGGTCAGGGCACATGCCCAGCTGCAAGCTCGATCCCAGTAGAGGGCCTGCAGGAGGCAGCCGATCAATGATTCTCTCTCATTATTGATGTTTCTATCTCTCTCCTTCTCCCGTCTTCTCTGAAATCAATTTAAAAATTTTAAAAAGCAAAGGGATTTTTAACCTGTCTCACTAAGGCCGCCTTTGTCCTCAGCCAGTAAGCAGTTCCTGAATGAACCCAGGGGCTGCAAATATAAACCTCTTTTCTTTCAGACTAACCAACATTTCCTCTGAGGAAGACCACCGCAGGCCAGGCCTGACGACTTAGTTAGGGGAGGATATGTAATAGGGCCCTGAGGGGTGCGAGAGACTAAGGACCCTCATTTACAAACGTTAAGTGCTATCTATATGCCAGATGCTGTGTTAGGGACTCAGGGGTGAATAGGACATGGCTGCAGTCCTGGTAAAGACAGACGTGTATACAAGTACTGCATTCAATGTGATGTGTGGTAAGAGCACAAGGAACACACCATTGGGGGACCGAGCAGAAACTAAGGTAAAAAGCAAAGGCAGGAGTCATAGTTTACCAAGAGAATGAAAGAGAAAATTCATTCTCTTGAACATGAATTCTCTCCAGGTAAACTGTCCCATTGGGCTAATGACATCAGGTAGAGGGACATGTGGAGGGTCCCAGCTGAGTCTCTGGATGTCCAGATATAGTTTATGTGACTTGTGCAGTCACACAGACCCTTGAGCTCAGAGAGACCCTGAATTTGGTTTAATGATGCTGTGCCACCTTGAAATTCTTCATAGTATTTGAACAAGGAGCCCCATATTTCATGCTGTGCTGGGTTCTACAAATTATACAACTGGTCCTGGTGCCATATCTTAAGGCTTTTTTTTTTTTTTTTTTTTTTTAACATAAGGCCCCTAGTACCTAATTGCCATTCTGCACGTTGGATTCAGGTCAGATATGAGAAGATGGATAAAGTGTGGGTGCCATTGCCTCATCATTTTGGTGGGTTCTTTCAACAGACTCCAGGAAGTGTGTAGGCAGTTTGCTAAAGTAGAGTTCTTAGTGTTAGAGCAGTTGGGTAGCCACAACATGGTGGATGTGGGGTGCTGCTTTTGTAGTTGGTGTATCTTATCTTCCATGGCAAGTCATCAGGAAGTGGTGCAGGCTGGGTGGCAGATAGAAGGAGCTGGGGGAAGTCCTGCAGCTATTGTGCTGCTGCTGTGGTGAGAATTCTGGGCTTGCTGAGAAATGGCCTAGGGTTTGTACAGGCATAAGGTAAAGATTCCACCACCTTCAAATGTTCCAACCGTGATGTAAGAGAGGCAGCTGCAAAACCTTAGCATGTAGTGGAAAGAGAGGGAGGCTGAAGATGTAGGTGCTAGTCCTTACATGTATGAGCTAGGTAACCTTATAAAATCACAAAACCTTTCTGAGTCTCAGTTTCTTCATTCATAGAATGGAAATAATAGCTATAAAATTGCCCTACCTAATCAGTGATCAGCAAATCATACACTATGAGTGAAAATGCTTCACTAACCATCAAGCAAATACATGTTAGTTATGTCTGAGGTTAACAGTGACAATAAGGATGAGAATCATCCTCCTCATCTCTTTTTTATTAATTAATTAATTAAAAAATTGATTTCAGAGAGGAACGGATTGGGAGGAAGAGATATAGGGTGTCCCAAAATTGACGCAAGATTTGAATTTTACGTGAGCATTAACAACAACAACAACAAAAAGTAAAAGCCTAATTTTACTTGGTTTATTGAATCAGATTCTAATATCTGTTGCCCTTTGATTTCAATCCCTTCAATTTGATAAGCATTACCAAGTACCAATTATGGCCCAGGAGCAGGGACAATGAAGACCAATGAAGACCACGGCTTTGTGTATGTGCCAGCAAAGCCTTGGGGGACATTTACCCAATGTGCTATTCCATATATAACCCTATACTGTATACTTTATGAATCAATAAAAAATTTACAATTTTTAATTATAAACCTGTGTTTTCTATCCAAATTACTTCTTGCGTGAATTTTGGGACACGCTATAGAAACATCAATGATGAGAGAACCATCGATTGGCAGCTTTCTGCATGCCTCACACTGGGGATTGAGGCCCCAACCTGGGCATGTGCCCTGACGAGGAATTAAACCGTGACCTCCTGGTTCATAAGCTGATACTCAACCACTCAAGCTGGCCAGACCATCATCTTCTTTATTATCATCTTAATAATTGGTACATGCCCTTGAAGGCGTCCCTAGTCTATCCCTATGATGGCCATGGCCAGGCCCATACAGAAGAAGGTATAAAGAGTCATTATTAAAGGTTAATTCAAGTAGAGCCCTGGGTTTGTTTTTTTTAGGTACCACCCACTTTACTTGGTGAACTTTATTTTTCTCTTAAAAACTTCAGTGTTAAAACAATCCCATTTACCATTGCACCAA